TTTGATAGCATGAGCATTGTAATCTCCCATGGCAATCCCTACTGACATCACCACACAGAATAGCAGATAAAACACTTGTAAAGAACAGAACCATTACACACACACCCCTTAAAATATTGTAAGAATATGGGTTGAAAGGGGGAGTTTGTGTGGAACACTGTTTATTAGGAGAATGATAGATCAGCACATTTGAGCACAGAGGTAAATGTCAGGGGACTGCAGAAATCTCCCTTCCATGTTCATCCTGAACGCGAAGCTGCACATTTACTTGGCCAAAGGACCCAGTGCCCTTCAGTCCCTTCTGGGGAATGGAGCCCGACTGGAGTTTAAAGATCCAGAGATCTTCAGGGAGAGAGAGCAACCAAGACTTCACTTCTCCTCCCCCAAAAGTGAAGCCTTTTGCGTACAAAGTGAGACAGCTAATGCCCCTGGAACCTAAGGAGGGTTTTCTGTACCAAAAAGCTGCCTAAATATTAGGTTAAAAAAGAAAGGCAAGAAAGACAGGAAGAAAGAAAGAAAGAAAGGTGGGAAGAAAGCGATAAAGAAAGGAAGAAAGAAAGGAAGAAAGGAAGAAAGAAAGAAAAAGAAAGAAAAAGAAAGAAAGAAAGAAAGAGAAAGAAAGAAAAGGAAACAGACATTTAAGAAAACCATAAATGTTACAAAACAGAGAAACAGAGGGAGGTAGTGTACATACATATGAACCTTGTAACGTGATGTGATTTTTCACATCTTTTTTAAAAAAATATTGGATCTGTGTATTTGAATCTTTGACACTTTCACATTTAAAGGTGATGGGATGTTTCATTAACTTCAGCATCTTTTTCTGATAAATCATGGACTTCAGAAGTTGTTGAGGAATTTCTGTGATTTAAACTAAAATACATCATGAGCATAAATTAAGTTCTTGCAAAGTATGCATGGTCTTCTGCAAACACATGCCACTGGCCTTTCCCTTGAGGGCATGAGTGGTACCAGCTCCCTCTTTTCTCCAGGGGAAATCAGAGGTCTCCCTTCTGCTCTCAACTGCCTCCCAGGTACTGCTTGTAAACCTCTCGGAACTAGGAAGGGCACATGGAATTGCTGGGGGCAGTTTTGAAGCCAGGTAAACAAATTTTATTTTATTTAAGCTATAGGATTTCATATATGCTTGGTAGTACTGTCTGATATGAAGTCTTTTCGCTTGTGCAGTATCATATCTATGTTTTTACTTATTCTAAATCTGTGTATGATGCCAAGTCCTCGACATACACTTTTTGAGTTATAAAACCGCTTAGTTAAATTACACTTCCCATTGTCCACTCCCTCCCAGTTAAATCACCAAAAGAGATGGTTCGGGAGCTGGACCATAATCATCCCTGAGGTTCTAAAAAGCACGTGCTGAAGGGTACCAGCTGGGAGAACTGGGAATTAGGCACTCCACATGTGTATTTTCCCCCACGGAGATGGAGTAGATTGGCACGTTTTGCAATTAGGTTTTTTGTGCGGTGAATTTCAATATTTGTAGGAATTGGCTGTGTACAAAATGTTCTCCGCATCAGAGAACGGGCTGACTCCTCGCACCCTGCCCTCCTTGCCCCCCTGCCCCGCGCGTCTCCAGCCACAAGCCTGTCGGGGCAAAGACTTTGCTGGGGGGAATTTCTTCAGCAACCAAGTTTCTTGATGCTTCCCGAAAGCATTCATGGGCGCTTACTTCCTGCCAGAGCTCTGCGCTCTCTGAATGGAAAGTAGCAAAAAAAAAGGACAGAAGAATCCGCGTTTTTCTGGAGTAAAAAGATATGGTTATTTCCCAGGAAG